TGAGGGCAGCCTGGTACCCAGGAGTCAGAAGGAGAGGCACTGTCCATCCACATCCTTAGCCTGTCCACACCCTTAGACTAATGTGAGCCTCTGGAGAAGTCCTCCCTGCTGTCAGCACCCAAGAGCATGAAAAGAATAGTGATGATCATGAAGTTTCTGGAAGGAACTTTAGTTGGGAAAATTAAAGAAACTGTTGGCTGTGAGTCAGCTGCAGCCCATCTGCGAGGACAGTAATTGTCCCATTAGAAGTGACTGTCATTTTGCAGTTGACCTTGCTGGTTGTAATCTGGCTGTTGCTGGGCAGGAAAGACTTTCTTTTCCTCCTACTTACTTGCTTTTTCCTATTTAATATTTCTGTCACTGAGTGATGGAAGGCAGTGAAAATTTCACCACCAACTAGTTAAAAAGCTGTATTTCACGGTTACACTATCTAACAGAAGGGTTTATTCCACAGCTATCGTGCTATAGCCATTAAATATATATTTTAAAAGAGCTAAATTAAAATGCCAGAGCCATATATTTTTAACAGTGATTTAGTCCACAGACTGACAGAATACAAATGAACTCAAGTCAGTTGTCAGCTGACATGAGCCATTGTACCTGCTGTCTGAGCAGCCTTCCTGCCAGTCTGGTCTCACGGCTTTTCCAAGGAGGCTTCAACTTAGTGGGATGGAGGGAAAACAGAAAGAGAATCTACTTGGAGCCTGCTTGCACTATTTATATTTATCTTCAAAAGTGATTGGGGGGGGAATAGAGAGGAGGGAGTGGGGGATGGGAACATGAGCGATTGATATGGTAGAGCTGGGGGAAGGAAGGAGAGGGCCCATTATGGGGTTAGGTAGAAACATGGTACCAGGGAAACTCCCAGGATCCCACAAGGTTGACCCCAACTAAGACTCATAGCAGTACTGGAGAGAAGGCGGCCTGAACTGGCCTTCTCCTACAATCTTATTGGTGACCACCCTAATTGTCATCATAGAACCTTCAGTAACTGATGGAAGCAGATGCAGAGATCCACAGCCAAGCACTGGGCCAAGCTCTGGGAGTCCAGTTGAAGAAAGGGAGGAGGGATTTTATAAGCAAGGGGAAGGGGTCAAGATCATGATGGGGAACCCACAGAGTCAGCTGACCTGGGCTAATGGGAGCTCATGGACCCTGGACCAACAGCTAAGGAGCCTGATGGGACCTAGGTCCTCTGCATATGGATGGCAGTTGCATAACTTGGTCTGTTTGTGGGGTCCCTAGCAGTGGAACCAGGATCTGTCCCTGGCACATGAGCTGGCTTTTTGGAACTTATTCCCTATAGTGGGATCCTCACTCCGCCTTGATGCAGGGGAAAGGAGCTTGGTCCTGCCGCAACTTGATGTGCCAGGCTTTGTTGATTCCCACAGGAGGCCCTACCTTTTCTGAGGAGTGAATGAAGGGGTAGAAAGGAGGTTGGGGGAGGGAATGGGAGAAGAGGAGGGAGGAAAAACTGTGGTTGGTTGGTGTGTGAAATAAATAAAAATATTTAATTAAAAAACTGACTGTTAGAGAGAAGCAGGTAAGGGCACTTACCATGCAAGCCTACAACCTAGGTTCAATTCCTGGAATCCTGTTAAGGTAGAAGAAAAGAAGAAAAGAACCAACTTCACAGAGTTGATCTCGGACCTCCACATACATACACACATCCATACATGCACACTGTAATCAAAGTAAACAATTACCATTGTTTAGGGCCTTAGGAGATAGTTCAGTCAGCAAGGTGTTTGCCTTGCAAGCATGAGGGTCCAAGTTTATTTCCCTGATCCCATATAAACAAATGGTTATGGTAGCACCAATTTGTAGCGAAGTGCTGGGGAGATGGAAATAGGCAGATTCCTGGCCAGCTAGCCTATCCTTTCTTTGCAGGCCCTGAGTCCCAGTGACAGATTCTGGCTCAACACATGTATACACACAAACAATAATGGTTTAACACAGAACTAATTGGAAACATATGTAAGTTGGTTGAGAACTTTCTAGCGTATGTGATTAGTGAGGAAAGCAAGGTGCACGCCATGGACAGCAGTATTAGTTCCTTCACATATAACATAAAGAGCTCAGTTGATGTTGCTATCTGGAGTGGCGGTGCAGGTAACAAGGAGGGGAGGGAGGGCAATAAAAGGTTTGTGATAAATTAAAAGGCATTCAAATCTGGGTGGTGGTGGCACACACTTTTAATTCCAGCACTCCAGAGGCAGAGGCAGGTGGGTCTCTCTGAGTTTAGGCCAGCCTGGTCTACAGAGCAAGTTCCAGGGCACTCAGAGCTACACAGAGAAACCCTGTCTCGAAAGACTACAAAAAAATTCATTGTTTAGGGGTGACATCAGTAGTTATACCACACAGCCACATGTGATTTCTAAAATTATGAAACATTTTAATTCTTATATTGTGTGTATGATACAATGTTTCCAAACGACCCACATGCAGAATTGTATATCCATGTCAGGGTGCAATACTAGTCTTCAAAGCACTAAGGGGAAAGGGTGGTGGTGAAGAATTTAGGATAATGTCACCCCCTCTACTTGTTTTGTGGTTCTGAGGATTGAACTCATGCTAGGCAAAGCACTCTACTACTGAGGTATATTCCTAGATTTCTGTTTGTTTTTGTGTTTTTTTCAAGACAGGGTTTCTCTGTGTAGCCCTGGCTGTCTTGAAACTCACCCTGTAGACTAGGCTGGCCTTGAACTCACAGAGATCCGCCTGTCTCTGCCTCCCAAGTGCTGTGATTAAAGGCATGCACCACCACTGCTCAGCCCTAGCTTTCTTTTTACTTCTTATTTTGACACAGACTCTTCATTGAGTTGCCCAGGCAGGCCTCGACTTGCAGTCTTCCTGTCAAAACCTCTTGTGTAGTGGCTCACAGTCTTATACCACCAGACCTGGCTGTTTCTCTATGTTTTTCCTCTATCGAGTTTTTTACAAGTGTAAATATTATAAGTCTCACCTGGAACATATTGATGGAGCCCCATAGGCCGTTTCTTTTCTTTTCTTGCTTTCTTTTTTTTTTTTTGTAAATTATCTTTTACATTTTTTTAGTTTTTTATTTTTATATATTTGAATTACAAACAAGATTGAATTACATGATGATCCCAGTTCCCTTCTCCCTCCCTTCCTCCTCTACCACCCCCCCAACTAGAATCCTACCTATCATATGTCCTTTCTTCTAATCTACACCTGACTCAAAATTTCGGCTTCCTCATGACCTCTGTATCCTTCCTTTTCTTCCCTTCTCACTCTCGTAGCTTCCTCCGCCCTCTTCCCATGTTCTCAATTTGCTCAGGGGATGGTGACCCTTTCCCCTTCTCCAGGGGACAAAGTTTGTCTCTTTTAGGGTCTTCCTTGTTTACTAGTTTCTCTGGCAGTGTGGATTGTAGGATGGTAATCCTTTACTCTATGTCTAAAATCCACATATGAGTGAGGACATATCATATTTGTCTTTTTGTGATTGGGTTACCTCGCTCAGAATGGTTTCTTCAAGTTCCATCCATTTTCATAGGCCGTTTCTTATGTGACAGGAGGGTATGCATTCGTAAAGCCAGTGGGCTTGCCTAGTGGTCTTGGTTTCACTGCTCTCCTTCTTCTCAGCCCACAGGCAGCCACGGAGACATATTTGGTGGTTGTTCTTCTAACCACCAAATAACTGTGTTCTTCTAAGTTACCTGTTGTTGTGTGTGCACAGGTTACTCGTTCACATCAATGGTGCTGGGTTATACACCTGTGAGGGTCAGGAAAGGAGGAAGGTCATGGAGCCTGGGAGCTTGAAGAGAACTGGGAAACTGTAGACTCATAAAGACATATTCCATATACTAGGTAGGGAGCCACTGTCAGGCACCCAGGCACACATTGGTACACACTATAGCCACATACAGGCAGGTGACACATGAACCTGCAGACAGAAATACACAGACAGCTTGGAAAAGGCAAAGACTTGAGCCTTTGACATTAAGGCCACATTCACACAGAACCCTCACAAAAAGCACTCTGCCAGTCATAGTTACAACACATAGCACATAACTGCTCACTTTTGGGGTTCCCAGGACATCTAGTATCATTCATTTTGTGCTGACTCACAGTCCTCCAATGTCCTGTGTCAGTCATATTTCAGCTGATTTATGCCAGATAGCCCTACCAGTGCCATGTTGTTTAAGCACAAAACTGACCTTTATAGCCCTCTGTTCTCAACAATACTTCCTTCTGTTTCTTTCTTCTGTCCACTTCTTCTAAGTCCTATGTGTCTTCTAGCTTCTTTACAGCTGGAGAGAATACCTACAATATTGATTGAATTCATAACACAAGCTCCCAACCTACCTACTTAACACACTCTTGCACAGATGTCAATCAAAAGCCACCTGAACATACAGTTGTATCCTAACTTGGAGGAATGGAGAGATAATTACGGTTAACCAATGTCTTTATACTTCAAAAGGGAAGAGAGTGGTTGGGGAGATGGCTTTCTTGGTAAAATACTTGCCTTGAAAGTGTAAGGACATGAGTTTGATCCCTAGAACCCACATAAGAAGCTGGGAATGGTGGCACACGGTTGCAATCCCAGTGATAGTGAGATGGAAGCAGACAGGAGATCTGGGTGTTGACCAGCTAGTCTAGCATGCTTGGTAACCTCTAGGGCTGAGAGTTGACCCAGTTCTGAGAACATGGGCTGGACACTAGGTTCCAAGTACCAGGGCTCCCAGGCCAGAAAAGGACCTCAGACCACACAATTCTGCCATCTCCCAGTACTTCCACTTCCACTCTTGCCCAGAATGTGGAAACATTTCCAAGTTCCCCGACACCTTGAATAGGAAGGCTTGAAATGTTTGTTTGGAAGGAGTGCTTCAAAGTTACATGGGTTTTTACCATTTCCCCAGCACTCCAGAAGTGCCCAAACTAGGTTTTAATCACCTTGCAGAGGAAGCCTACACTTGGCACACAGATTCAGCTGTATCTGGTTCTAATCAAGTCACATGCTGTGTTTCCAGTTCCCTCACATTGGAATGGTGCAGAAGACGCCAGAATCCATCACAAGCACTACCCTAAAGGAAATCAACTGTCCATTCTTGTCTCAGCAGGTGGAGAGGAAGCTGCCACCAATATACAAAATCCGAGAGAAAGTAAGATGAGCTTGGATCCCAGATACAGGATCCTGGGGCTTTTCTGAGGAGGTAGCATTTTGGTCAGACCCATTTGCCCATTTGCCATAGTTCCCTGTGATGTATCCAAGTGCTCTGCAGCTAGAGCTGCCACTTGGTCCAAACAATCAGCTGCCATTGTCCACAGGAACCTTTAGTCATTAACAGTCATGGTCTGCCTCCCTGGTCAGTTCATGAGAAACTGCCCCGGCCTCAATGGTATGAAGGAGGAAGCAGAATGGTTTTAACATCAGCATCAGCTGCACTCACTGTGAGCCTTAACTCAGATGCCAGGCTACTGGGAACAAAGCCTCAGGGTTTCTAGGATCTGGTCAGGTTTCCATCCGATTTGGTTTCTGCCATCCTTATTAGTTATATAAGAGGTTGGCTCCCAAGCTGTCAAAAGTCCTTGCCAGAATTTGGTTCTTTGCATCTATTCACTTTTGCTCCTTACCTCCAAAGACATTTTGAAAGAGAAATTTTCCGATTTCATAGATTTGGTAATAGGGTTGAGTTTGGAAGCCCTGTGCCTGCCCATATCCCTTCTTCTGTGCTGTTCGCTCCATGCTGGTGATGGACTTCATTAGCCATATTGAGAGGTTCCTTTGTCCCATCCCTCTTCCTTCCCCATCACTGTGCCCCAGTCTGAGGGCATCCCATAGTTCTGACATGTACCTTTTCATCTCTCTCCTGTTCCTCTCCAGCAAGCAGAAAAAAAAAGCTTTCCCTTCTCTGTGCACGACAATCGCCACAGTTTTGAGAACTCTGGATACTATTTTGACGCTGTGAGTACTTCCTTGAAAACTAGTAGGGCCTCAGGTACAGCTCAGTGGTAGAACTCTTGCCTAGTGTGTGGGAGGCCCAGGGACCCATCACTAGCACAGCAAGCAGGCAACTGGTAGAATGGGGAGCAGTGATGGGTCTCTTGATTTCCAAGGTGCACAGGTTACAGGAAGACATGTGTTCCTTAAAAGTGGAACAAAGCCAAAATGGTTCAGGGTCTTCAACAAGACACCCGAAAAGTCACAAAACAAAAGCCCCCTCTTGAAGCTCTCAGAGTTGGGTGGAGTGTTTCAAGTCTGCAGAAGTCTTCTGCCTCCATTCAAGCATAGGCAGGCCATGCTTACCAAGTGTCCTCCCTTGGAATTGTCTCTTGTGAGATTTCCTCAAGTTATCCCAGGAGTGGCAAGTCCCCTGCCACTGGAGAGCTTAAGGTCTTGTTAGCAGTTTAACATAGCATTGGGTAGAGAAATATAACACAAGCTTCGAGTGTAATTTTCAAAGTTCTAGTAGCAACAGGAAAATTTAAAAACCAGGTAAAATTAATAAAACAGATGGTCTACTTAAAATTTCTAACGTTATGATACTATGAAAATAACAGAGTCAGTAAAACTTCAGACTTAGAATTTTGCCTTTTTCTTGGGCTATTGCCAGGTATAAGTATTTTGCATCTGTGTTTCTTGTGAGGCTGTGTCATTGGCATTGGGTCACACCTCTCAGCTAGCCACACAAGCACCACAAGACAAATTTAATGCTCTACAGTGTAATATGTTACCAAGCTGGGCCAGATGCATCTTGTTTCTTTAAAAAAAATCATTTTTTCTTGTTTGGGAATTTCATACATATACATAAAATGTTTTGATCTAACCTACCTCCACTCCTTCCCTCCAATTCCTCTCCTATTTCTGTGGCCACTTTTTTCTTTCAACTTCATGTGTTCTGTTTGAAACCTACAAAGGTCACACCAGATGAATTTTCAACTTAGAATATTTTCTGCTTCCATTGGGTTTATTGGACCATAAGTCCAAGGGTATTTGCATATTTTATTTAACCCAGTATTTCTTTCCCCCGATTATCAATTCAATATGTAATAGAGCAATTCACATAAAATTATACAAATTGTTTAAGCTTTAAAGTAATTGAATTTTTTTTTACATTTACTGTGTATGGGTGTGGGTGTGAGCATGTGTGGGTGTGGGTGGAGGTCAGAAGACAACTTGTAGGAGTTGGTTCTCTCTTTCCACCATGTGGCTCTGGGGATGGAGTCTTCAGGCTCAATGTCAGTAACCCTTCCCTGCTGAGGCATCTCATCAGCTCCATAAAAATTATAACCAGTTATTTTACATTTCCCTTTTTAAACTAAGCCCTTAAAATCTGATTTACATGTTACTAATCTCAATTTAAACCGCTCACATTCAAGCACTCAATCACTAGTGGCCAGTGGTTGCTGCACTGGACACCACAGGTTAGCATATTTTAGGCAGAAGTATGTGTTGGGTGAGCTTCAGGAACACTTACCAAACTTGACAAGCCACATGGCAAAGGTGCTATTAGCAACACCCTTTGTTTATTAAGACTTTAAGACACACCAGTGTTTTGTATCATCTTGTTTAAGCCCGGTAGCACTCCTGTGGGCTAATTACTCTTATCCTTGATTTAGAATGAGCAGACCGAGAAACACTGAGATGAAATATCAAGCTCAGAGAAACCTTTCCCTCCACACGACCGTCTTCCAAGCTTAACCAAAAAACCCGCTTTCCTTTGGCAGCGTATTGAATGCAGAGTCATAATTTCTACCCTTCCCTCTTTAAGTGAAGCCCGGTAGCACTCCTGTGGGCTAATTACTCTTATCCTTGATTTAGAAATGAGCAGACCGAGAAACATTGAGATGAAATATCAAGCTCAGAGAAACCTTTCCCTCCACACGACCATCTTCCAAGCTTAACCAAAAAACCCGCTTTCCTTTGGCAGCATATTGAATGCAGAGTCATAATTTCTACCCTTCCCTCTTTAAGTGGAGTGCTTAATGTTTTCTTTATAACAAAATGTTTATTTTTATTTTACTCTATGTGTATAAGTGTTTTGTCTGGAACTGGAGTTATAGTTGTGAGCCACCATGTGGATACTGGGAATCAAACCTAGGTCCTCTGCAAGAGCAATAAGTGTTCTTCACTACTGAGCCATCTCTCCAGCCACTTAATGTGCTTTCTAAATTGCCACAATGAGGTTCATCAAACAAGTCAAATAAGTGATGGTAAGATGACTCAGTGGGTGCGTATTGCCAAGCTGAAGAGACAGTAGAAACAGAGAACAAACTTGCACAAGTTGTCCTCTGACCTACACACACACTTACATACATAATAAATAAGTAAATAAATATTTTTAAAAGTCAACTCAGACTTATATAAAATTCCAAATAAAATTTGCATCCTCATTTTCCTTTTCAACAGTTTAGCCTGTGATTAGCTGCTGGCCAGGGACTAGTGGACAGATCCACAGAAGAGTGTATCTTGTTAATGGCACAAGCAGGCTTAGACCCTCACATCTTAACAGGGTGATGAGAGCCTCCGGGAAGGTTCCAGAAGTTTCCCAGCTTTCTGTGTTCTAGAAAAGCTTACATATTCTTAACATTTGGATTTTTAGTTTATAGTGGTTTGATAGAACTTGCCCACAGGACCCAGGACAGCACTGGGAGCTCAGTGGAGTTGTCTACTGCACAGGCAGCACTGGCTAAATAATATGGTTCATGAATCTGTTTAGGTTTGATACACTTTTTAGAACAAGGTTTTTGAATTTTACCTTGACTACTAGTCTATTCAAACTTCCTGCTTTCTATTGCATAGAGTTTAACAGTGTGTTTGCCTAAAAATTTATCTCATCCATCTCATATTTAATGGTATAATGTCAATCAAAGTACCTGTACTTTTCTATCTAAAATGTTCTTCAGTTGACAGTTGAATTCAAATGTGTGTCATTTCTGTTAATGAGATTATTAAAACTATGAATATTCTCTAGTTCTGGCTGTACCAGTAAGATATTATTATTCAGACCTAACTAATAATTCTAATATTGTTCCATTATCTGAACAGAGCTAAACCTTTCTGAAGTGGTTGCTTTTTTCTTGGAGAAATATGCAGGCAATCATTTTTATATTTAGAGGGTAGTACCTTTTAATACACTTCTTAAACATTTACACTTGAAGGTAACTATTAGGAAAATATCAGAAGTCAGAACAAGCAAATAAATGAACAAATAACATTTAGGCAAACACATCATTAAAATCTGTGTTAATCAGACCTAATTTGTCTGATTAGTATTTGCCTCCAAATAATCTTTATTTAATTTTTAAATTCTCTTTTAACAGAGCTATTTGGAAGATTCCTTGAATTTCTGATGTGGCTAGAATTGGTTAGGTTACCTATTTGTTGCTGATATCTGATTTTGGTGTTACTTGAGTTTTATGGAGGACACTCTGATTTTGCCTTTTTGAGTAGTAGAGATTATTTTTGCATGTGATTAATTTTAAAGTGTCTCATTAGTAGTTAAAAAGATTATATAGTCCAGCATTTAATTGCAAAATTACTGGCTGGGGACTGCTAATTATGTTATAAAATATTTCTTACTCTTTTTTTCTTGGTCTGTCAATTTCTGTTCCTAAGAGTTACTCTTAAATTTCAACACTTTTTGGTTTTTCTTTAAATAGTTTGGTATCATGTCTTGTTGAATAAAAATTCATGATTGTTTTATTTTTATCTTGATGGCTTTGCCATTTAGCACTGTGAGTATCTGTTACGGGATATTGGTTTACTGTGTAAAGATGCATTGCTCTGATTGGTGTAATAAAAAGCCAATAGCTAGGCAGGAGGTATAGGCAGGATTTCTGGGGAGAGAAAGGAAGAGAAGGAAGAATATAAGTATGTAGGAGATACCAGGAGACACAGAGAGCAAACAGGAGTTACAAGATGGAAGAGAAGTAATGCCATGTGATAGAACATAGACTAATAAAAATGGGTTAATTTAAGTAATAAGAGCTAGTTAGGAACAAGTCTAAGCTATAGGCCAAGTTTTCAAGTCTCTGTGCCATCATTTGGAGCTGGCTAGAGGGACAGAAAAAGGCTTGTTGCAAGTATCTCTCAGCCTATGTGTCCTTTTTAGCCATGGATCTTTCCTTGCATGTGTTGCACAATGGAGTGCAGTTCCTTAGTCTTTATGACTTACAAAATGCTTTTGCTAATTCTTTGAGCATTTTGCACACACATATGGTGTATTGATCAAATTCACCCTACTCTTTGCCCTAACTCCTCTGAGATCCACCTCTCAGCTCCCCACCCCTTCCCAACTTCATGTCCTTTTTTTTTTTTTTTTAATAACCCACCAAGGCCTGCATACTCATGGCTATGGGAGCTTCCACTGAAGCCTTTCACCTACTATGGCCATACTTTTAAAGAAAACAGACCCTCTGTCTCCTAGAAGCCATCAACTCTTTGTAGCTCCTCAGCTTGGGGTGTGGGGGGGTACTGAGCCCTCGAGTACTCCATGCTGTACTGTTGACTAGCTTGATCTTGTCCAGGTCTTATGCAGACAACCACAACAGCTGTGAGTTCATAAGTCCTGTCAGGTTCAGGGCACAATGTTTTACCTTGGTCCTCCCTGACCTCTGGCTCTTAAAATCTTTCTGCTCTCTCTTCTATAACTGTCCTGGAGTCTTGGTGGGAGGGAGACTGATATAGATATCCCATTTGTGTCTTCATGAACTTTAGCCATTTGGCTTTGGGTTTGTCTTCCAATATAAACGAAGTGCAGCCTAATTAAAAAGAAAAATAATACCCAAGAGTCACTGTTTCCCCATATAAGAATTTAAGCCATTCACATTATTATGACAGTTACATGTTTAACACCTGTCACTCACTTTCTATCTCTTAACTATCTTATTCTCTTTTTGTTCTCTCCTCACACAATGTTCTATCAGTTGAATTGGTTTGCTTATTCTGATTTCTGCTGACTTTTTACTAATAGTTATCTTCAAATACAAATGTTTAAAATGTGTACTGACAAGGTACTACTCTCTGGATACAAAATGAACACCAGCAGACTTCCCCTAGGATAAAGAGGCCCTTCTGAGGGCCTTATCTCTGTTCTTTCCTCTCTGGGGCTGGTAGAGTGCTGGCCTTAGCTGGCTTCTCTCGGTCTCCAGATGAGCCCTAAAGGGACTTCCATCTGCAGCTCAGCCACTGGTCCCGATTGCTCCAGTGTGACTAAAACCCTACAACTTTCCTCCACTCTACCCTCTCACCTGTCTTCTTCCCTTCCCTCCTCTTCCCTTTCCCTTTTGTGTCCAGCACTTCCTGCTCTCTCCTCATTCCTTCCTCTTAATTTTCCAATATATTTCATGGCCACATGTTCAGCAAGTATTTCAAGGTATATTGCCGGCTGCTTTCCTTGCAGCTCTTCCCTATGCTGGTTTTTTTTTTTCCTTTTCATTTTGCTGGATGTCCTCAAATAACTTCTCCAAAAGATGTAATGTGCTCAGCATCTTCTCTTTGTCCCCCCAGAGCCTCTCTCCCCCTTTATTCCCTTCCCAAACCTCCCTGGCTGGTCTGTACAGACTAAATCAGGAGCCATTGCACTGCTCCTGGGTATTTCCCTACCCTCTAGCTACAGTATATAAATGTAGTCATCTTGGGTATCTGTGGGGATTGGTTCTGGAATCCTCTGTTTTTACCAAAATCAGCAGATGCCTGTCTCTTATAGACAATGTCATGACATTTACATATTACCCATGTTACCCATGCATATCCTCTAGACTACTTACTATGTATTATAAATGCTGTGGAAATAGTTTTAATATTGTTTAGGGAAATATGAAAAAGAAAAGGCCTATGATGTTCAGTTCAGATGTGATTGAAGTATTTTTGCTACTCACACACACACACACACACACACACACACACAGACTTTCCATTTGACTTACATGGATTTGAGGTTGGATTTGAGGTTGGTTGAAGTAGAGAGGCAGATGCCCGCTGTGGTACTTTGTGGACTTCTCTTACATTCTGATTCAAGCATCCTATGAGGCCCTGTTGCCATCTGACTGATGGGCTCTTGTGAGCAGTTAGCCTCATTGTATTGACGCAGAGTCTGTGTAACCTGGTGTCTATCTCTTTTCACTCCTTTGTGCCAACATCCATTTTCTTTCTTCATTTTCACCCCATTGTGATGACTCAACTGTTTAATTCTGAATCCATGACGATTCTCAGGTTCACATGTAAGGTGCCAACTGCTAACAAGCAAGCCTGTGTACAGAGGCCAGAGATCTTGCTCCCTTTGGGAGATGCCATAGGGTAGGAAAAGAAGTCAATCTGCCACTCCTCAGAGGCATCCAAGAGTGGTGCTTCCCTGGGAAGTGACAGCGATTAGCAGGATATATATGGCTGGGGTCCCTCTGATTTTACCTTCCTTGTGTTTAAAAGTCCAGTCCCCTTCATGGCAAAGGAACAAAGAACAGCAAAAAGACACTGCCAGGATGTTGCTGACTTTTGATATTCAACCGATTGGCTTTTATAATGGTTGTCTTCTGTATGCATTTAAACATATGCACGTCATTTGCTGGTTTCATTGACATCCTCAGAACTGTTTGACCTTGTGCATCTCCCCCCTAATTTTGTTCTTCCTCCCTAGGGCTTGGGACGCAAGAAGATCTCCCCAGAGAAAAGGCAACACCTTTCTAGAAATTTCAATCTCTGGGCCGGTGACTTCATCCCATCCCGTTTTGATGGCCTTTCAAATAACCAAATGTCATATGTACAAAAGGAAGCCATGGTAATCTCAACTTTCCGACGCTTCCCTAGATCTTACGATAAAAAATGGAGTGCCTTCACGTGTGTTCCCAATCAAAGTTTTAAAGAGTTTCCAAATAAGAAGTTTTCTGTTGACAGAAAGGCTGCCTCTCCACAGGATCCCTAATCCTTCCAGAAGATTCTTGATGAGGTTTGTGATGTCATCTCATCAGGCATTCATAAAGTATATGTCTCTGAATCCACACTTTTATTATTTTCATAAGGATAAAGATATTCAAATTCTTACCAAGATGTGTAGGCTATATGCACCTGTAAATAAACTGCTAAGATTGTTTACCTTTGTGGGAGTTAAAAAGTTATGTTACTCATATATGAATAATTTTCATTCTGAAATTCCAAACAATGCAGAGGAGGCAAAAGTCTCCTTGATTCTGTTTTACAGTCAATCCTTGTCCTGCCACTAAAAGTCATTCAACTACTTGTTTGGATTCTATGCATGTGCATTTGAATAGATGCATATAGATCCACGAAAGCTTGGGTGGATGCTGTCTCGCCTTATGTAATATCTCATAGCTCAATTTTGCTATCTAGCCATGTACCTTGGTTTTCTTGCAACATCATATATAGCTTTTTTTTTTTTTTAAGAACTATCTGATGGGCTAGAGAGATGGCTTAGTGGTTAAGAGTGTGTAAACTTTTGTTTTGTTTTGTTTTGTTTTTTTTGTTTTGAGACAGGGTTTCTCTGTGGCTTTGGAGGCTGTCCTGGAACTAGCTCTTGTGACCAGGCTAGTCTCAAACTCACAGAGATCCTCTGCCTCTGCCTCCCGAGTGTTGGGATTAAAGGCATGCACCACCACCGCCCGGCGAGTGTGTGCTATTCTTGCAAAGGAAACTAGTTTGATTCCCAGCACTTACACTGGACAACTTAGACTCCCTGTAACTCTAACTCCAGGGCAATCTCATGAACTCTGGCCTCCACAGGCACCTGCACAATGCCCCCCTACACATATAAAATATTAAAGTGAATCTTTCAAAAATTGTTTTTAGAAAGAACTAGCTATGCTTCATCTCCAAGTGTGGATGTGCACTAGGTTTTTAGAAATGCTTTTCTTTTTAGTAGGCAATTGGACTGTTAATAACTTTTGGAATCCTTCTGCAGCAACTGTAGACTCACAGGGAGCATGCTCTGTAGATATGTTAGATCTGCCTCTTTGGGCTCATGCTTGTGTGTACCTCAGGGCAGATAATGAAAGCTTAACTCATTGGTGTAGGATTGGATGGGTTACACAATCCAACATCATGACCAAACTGCCTTGGAAAGACTGGGACCCGCTAATCCCTTGCCAATTGTATCTGTGAGTTTGCATTTTTCTCTCTTCCCATTATGTTTTGGGTATTTATAGATGAAAAAAATTAATGATTTTGCTTCTATTTTCCCTTTTCTTCTTTGTACACGTATGTGTGTTCATGTTTATTCAAATGTATACAAGCAGTTTGTATGTGTGTGTGTGATATACAGATCAGTACTCCATAGTATTTTATTATCTGATCATTGACCAGTGTTGGGTCTCTGTATTAACCATCATCTACTACAAAAAAGAAGTTTCCCCAATGAGGGTTGAGAGATACACTAATCTATGTAGATAAGAATTTAGGGGAGAGTTTATTACTATGTCTATTTAGTAGAATAGCAGTAGTAGATTCTTCTATAAGGCTGTGACCTAGTGAGTCATGGGTTTTTGTCCCAGTTAAAAGTACCAGGCATGAAGCTGGGTGTTGGTGGTGCATGCCTTTAGTCCCAGCACTGGGGAGGCAGAGGCAGGCAGATTTCTGTGAGTTCGAGGCCAGCCTGGTCTCCAGAGCAAGTGTCAGGATAGGTTTCAAAGCTACACAGAGAAACCCTGTCTTGAAAAACCAAAACAACAACAACAACAACAAAAAACCACCCAAACAAAACAGTTACGATAAATCTTTCTGCCAAAGCCGCCCAAGCCCTACCGCCACGTGTGCAGTCTCTGCCAGCCGCCCAAGTTCTGCCCGCTGCATGGATGGACAAAATAATACAGAGACACATTAGGTACAAAGCTGTTTGGCCAATGACTAGGATTCTCATCTGTTAGCTCAGTCTCAATTATCATAAATCTATATATTTTATAAGACTTATCTTATTGGACGCCTTATTGGGGTCCCTCCTTGCCGGTGGATCACATTGTGCCATTGGAGGAGGAGCGGAGGGGAAAAAAGAGACACTTCCTTTTTCCCCTTTCTTAAATATGAGTCTCCTTGCTATGTCACTTCCTGCCTGGATCACCTCGTCTCTACTACATTTCCCAGAATCCTCTTTGACTCCTGGTCCTGTCTAACTTACTGTCTCATTGGCCAAACAGTATTTTATTCAATAATCAATAAGATAAACATACAAAGAAGTACATTCCCCAGTCACCAGGCATGAATGCCATCTTATGGAGTGAACTTTAAATCCAGTCAGTATGTGGCTGGTTACTTCCATAACATTGGTGCCACTATGGCACCATCAAACATATCTTGCCAGGTCACTCATAATTGTGGCTTGAAAGGCTCACAGCTGGGTAAGACTGATGATTACTTTCCTCTTTCAGTAGTGTCTATAGCACCCTCAGCACTATAGAAGTTAGCCAGCAGAAATAAAGCTTCTAGGTGGGTACCAGCTTGATTTTTCTGTCCTATGACTCCATTAAGAGGCATCCTTAGAGCCGGGCATTGGTAGTGCACACCTTTAATCCCAGCACTCAGGAGGCAGAGGCAGGAGGATCTCTGTGAGTTCGAGGCCAGCCTGGTCTCCAGAGTGAGTGCCGGGTTAGGTTCCAAAGCTACACAGAGAAACCCTGTCTCGAAAAAAACAAAAACAAAAACAAACAAAAAAAAGAGGCATTCTTAGCAATAAGGTCTGACTCTCAAGTTCTGCAGGATAACTAAGAGCAATGGCAATATCCTGTAATGTTGGGGGGCATGGTCTATGGTACCACACTGAAAAGCCCACCTGACACTGGGCTTTTTTTGATAGCCTATGGTGTCTAGGAGAAGAATTGCTCCCTGTTACAGGGTAACTCCATTTAAACTCTGTGTGTGTGTGTGTGTGTGTATGCGCGCGCGCGCGCGCACGCGCGCGCACACATGCACGCGTGTGTGCGTGTTTTAAGAAAATTGTACAGTAACAGGTTTCCCTATGGCATTTTCAAAGTTCTTTAGTGTTAGTTATCTCTCTATACACTCCATCCTGTATCCTGTCTTTCCATACCCCACCCCACTTAGTCCTTCATACTCCACTATACCTCTTACCCCCTTCATACCACCTGTGATCTATACCATCTCCCTTGAAATTCCCCCATGTCCCCATAGCAACCACATGCAAGAGACAACACGCCACATTTGTCTTTCTGGAGCTTGTTTGGGTGGTAATTTTTAATATTTTTAAGTTACACTTTTAGATTAGCTATGACTAGGAAGAAGTTAATGATTTCCATATATAAATCTTGTATTTGTTCCCCCCATTTGGACTCCTAATAAAATAATCTAAAATAAAAATTAAGTTCCAGTAATTTTTCCATTTGCTTCTCCCTTATTTGTCTATGTAAATAATTCCATCTTTTATGAAAGCAGTAACTTGGTATCATTCTTTGAGTAGGTCTAGGTATACTTTTAACATTAGCATAGATAATGCTTTAGTTTTATTTCTAGGTTTATAGTGGCTTCTTCTAATATGGAACATAGAATCCCAACTTCTATTGTACCTTTATATAGTTACATTTTATATTTATCTAATTGAGCATAATCTCTGAGAGTCTTAATTAGGTTTTTTCTTCTAAAGCATTTTTTTGAGCACATGCATGTGGAATTTGTTTTCTAAGAAAATAAGAATAAATAGTGACAACTGTGTTCCTCAGGTTCTGACTATAGTCCTTATTTTCCTCCCATGGCTGGCTTTGCGTGTTTTCTTCTCCAGGTAGTATATGTACAGATTCTCTCACACATTCTTTATCTCAACACTTCTCTCTCTCAACAATCCCATAATAGATACTATCCACTCTTGTTTCTATCCTATAAAATACACTTACAATTTGAAGTCATTTGTTAGTATTTACAGTTTACTGTTTTTTATTTTTAATTACTCATATTTACATATCCATCCCCCCATTCCCTCACCCTCCTCTCCTCCCATGTTCCTCACCCAACCCACCCCAACCCATCCCCTGACTCCTCCCCAGGGATAGTGAGGCCCTCCACCAAGGACCTTCAAAGTCTGTCATATTGTTTGGGGGAGGGCCTAGGCCCTCCTTGCTGTATCTGGGCTGAAATAGTATCCCTCCATAGGGAATGGACTCCCAAAGTCCATTTGTGCTCTAGGGATAAAGACTGGCTCCACTGTTAGAGGACCAGTAGACTGTCTTGGACCCCTAGCTGGTAGCCACATTCAGAGGGCTTGGTTTGGTTCAATGCTGTTTCCCTAGCTTTATGACTGGGGTTTCCATTCTCTCAGTAGGTCAGGTCCACTGTTTCTGCAGGTCTTCCCATCCCTGTATTGGCTCCTTTGCTCATCCCTCCTCCCTCTCCACAACTGAATTCCAGAAGTATGGTTCAGTGCTTAGCTGTGAGTGTCTGTTTCTGCTTCAAATAGCAACTGGATGAAGACTCTCCTTCCTCTCCCTGCCCCCAGGCTCCAATTTGGTCAGGGGTTTGTGTCCCCATCCCCTTCTTCGAGGGACTATGCAATCTTCTTTTGAGGTCCTCCTTGTTTCCTAGCTCCTCTGGCAGTGTGGATTGTAGGCTAGTGAGTCTTTGCTCTATGTCTAAAAATAAAAAATGAGTGAGTACATACCATGTTTATCTTTTGTGGTTGGCGGAGTGTGCATTCTTTGGGTATATGCCCGAGAGAGGGATTGCTGGATCTTGATTGATTCCCATTTTCCTGAGAAACAGCCATACTGATTTCCAAAGTAGTTATACAAGTTTGCACTTCCACCAGCAATGGAGTAGAGTTCCTCTTTCTGCACATCCTCTCCAGCATAGATTGTCATTGGTGTTATTGATTTTAGCCATTCTGACAGGAGTAAGATGGTATCTCAGAGTGGTTTTGAGTTGCATTTCTCTGATAGCTAAGGATGTTGAACACTTTCTCAAGTGTCTTTCAGCCATTTTGGATTACTCTGTTGAGAATTCTCTATTTAGTTCTTCACTCCATCTTTCAATTGCATTGTTTGGTGTTTTGATGGCTTCTTGAGTTCATTGTATATTTTGGTGATCAGCCATCAGTCAAATGTGGGGTTGGTGAATATGTTTTCCCATTCTGTGGGCTGGCGTTTTGTCTTGCTGTGTCCTTTGCTTTACAGGAGCTTCTCAGTTTCAGGAGGTCCCATTTATTAATTTTTGATCTCAATGTTTGAGCTACTCATGTTATGTTCAGAAAGCGGTCTCCT